CTGATAATGAATATCTGTGAAAAATCTATACCTAATATATTTAATGATGAATCACTGGACATTTTTTTCTATGATGTAGAGAAAGGCACATATGTCTACTCTCATCTCTTCTATCCAACATTGATAGGGAAGTCCTAGACAGTGTAATAAGGCCAGAAAAATAAATAAAAGACATATAGTTAGAATAGAAGAAGTAAAACTATTTTTATTTGCAGATGATATAAGACTGTACATAGAAAAACCTCTGGAATCTACAAAAAGCACTATTAAATTTTATTAGTGAAGTCCACAAGGTTATAGGACACAAGGTCAACATATAAAAATCAATTATATTTCTCTATACTAGCAAATTTTTGAAAATTGAAATTAAAAAAGTACAACTAACAATAACATTAAGAAAATAAAACACAGGACAAACTTAACAAAATATATACAAAAATTGAGAACTACAAAATATTACTGGGAGAAACTAAAGAAGTCCTAGATAAATATATAGAGAGATCATGTTTATGGACTGCAGATTCCATATGCCCATTCTCTTCAAAGATCACTATCAAAGTCTCAGCAGCCCTTTTTGGAAGAAATAGAAAAATTTATTCTAAAATTTATGAATCACCCAGGTGCCCCAAATTTAAATATTTAAATATTTGGGACACCTGGGTGGCTCAGTTGGTTAAGCATCCACCTTCAGCTCAGGTCATTATCCCAGGGTCCTGGGATCGAGGCCCAAGTTGGTGTCCTTGCTCAGCAGGGAGCCTGCTTCTCCCTCTCCTTCTGCCTGCCACTCCCCCTGCTTGTGCTCTCTCTCTCTAATAAATAAAATCTTAAAAAAAAAAAAACAGACTTTAAAGATTTTACTTACTTTACTAGAAAGAGAGAGAGTGCATGGCCAGGGGAGGGGCAGATGGAGAGGGAGAAGCAGACTACTCACTGAGCCGAGGTTTCAGCCCCATTACTCTAGGATCATGACCTGAACCCAAGGCAGACACTTAACTGCCTAAGTAACTGAGCCACCCAGGGACCCTAGTTTATTCTAAAATTTATTTCAAAATATAATGGCAATAAAGAAGCTTTTACACAGTGAAGGAAACCATCAACAAGAAAACAAGGCAGCCTACTGAAGAGGAGAAGTTATTTGAAAATGACATATCTGGTAAGGTATTAATAACCAAAATGTATAAAGAGCTTATACAATCCAACACCGAAGAAACAAAAAATCTGACTAAAATGGGAAGAGGACCTGAGTGTTTTTCCAAAGATATACAAATGGCCAAGAAACATATGAACACACACTCAGTATCACTGATCACCAGGGAAATGCAAATCAAAACCACAATAAGATATCACTTCATACCTGTCAGAATGGCTATAATAAAAAAGACAAGAAATAACAAGTGTTGGCAAGAATGTGGAGAAAAAGGAGCCCTCATGCACCATTGATGCAGCCATTTTGGAAAACGGTATGGAGGTACCCCAAAAAATTACAATTGAAATACCATAGGATCCGGTAATTCCATTACTGGGTACTTACTCGAAGAAAACAAAATACTAATTTGAAAAGATATAGGCACCCCTATGTTTACTGCAACATTAGTTACAAGCCAAGATTGAGAAGGAACCCAAGTGTCCATTCATGGTTGAACAGATAATGAAGAGGTGGTGTATACATATATACAGAAGGGACTATTACTCAGCCATAAAAAAGGTGATTCCCCCCCCCACTTGCAACAACATGGGTAGACCTAGAAGGTATAATGCTTAGTGAAATAAGTCAGACAGAGAAAACAAACACCATATGATTTCACTTGTATGTGGAATTTAAGAAAGGAAGGAAGGAAGAAAGGAAGAAAAAAAAGGAGACAGATAAAAGAAACAGACTCTTAAATACAGAGAACAAACTGGTGGTGCCAGAGGGGAGATAGGGGAAACAGGTGAAGGGGACTGAGAGCGCACCTATGATGAGCACTCAGTAATGTCCAGAATTGTTGAGTTGTTATATTGTACACCTGAAACTAAGGCTATATATTAATTATAATCCCATTAAATATATTAAATATAATATATATTTGTCTATTAAATATAATATATGTGTGTGTAATATATGTGTGTTATATATGTATATTAAATATAATATATATGTGTGTGTATTATATATGTATATGTGTGTATATTACATATATATGTAATATATGTGTGTGTGTATATATACACACACTTATATATATAATGACATTAAAATTGCCATAATAATCTTGAAAAAGAGCAAAGTTGGAGGATTTACCCTATCTGATTTCAAGACTTACTTTTCCTGGTAAAAGGGTTAAAAGACCAGCATAAACCCCGTGGAAGTTTAGTGACTCTGCATACAGCAAAAACATTAATTGGGAAACAAAATATAAAATTCCTATTTGTTCATACCATATTATAAAGAATTATATAAACAACAAGTCACCTTGATAACTTACATCAGACAACCCATGCTGACTATCGATAAGTGTAGCAGCAACATGTAAGAAAATAAATATGAAGTTTAGAATACTCCAACTAAGCTAGAATTCAGCAGATCATGGAAAAAGAATGAAGAGGTTAAAGAAATAGAAGCAGAATTTAGAGTTAGTTTCAGAAGAGAATCTGACTCAGGAATAAGCACATTTAGAGAAGCCATGAGAATCAAATTTAAGTGCACATATAGAAAAATGAATTGACCATCACTCTAGAAGAAGAGGATAGAGGTAAACATATTCCTTAGGGACATGTTAAGATCACATGATTTTACATTTATCCCTGGGATTCAGGAATATTACTTCACTCCTCCTGTTGTTCAAGTTGAGAAACACGGACATGATTCCTGAGACTTTTCCTCTCATCATTCTCCATGACCCATCATTACCAAACTTTTATCCAGCCTATCTCAACAATTCATCTTAAAATCATCTTCCTCTCTCCATCACCAACCAATCCAGTAGTCTAAGCCACCATCATCACTTACCTGGATTAAAGTGTCTCCTTTCTCCTCTAAACCCTCCCAATCCATTCTCCACACAATAGCCAAAGGGAGCTTTGTAAATGTAAAGGAGGTGGGGGGTCGCATCACTTTCCTGGCTACACCTCTCATGCCTTCTCAGCACACTTGAAGTACAGGATTGTTAGCCTGGCCTCAAAGCCCTAAGTGATCTGAGATGTGCCTGCCTTCCCCGACATAAGGTCTAGGAGACTTGAGGCTTCCTCATCTTGTCCACCAGTCTATCCCAGTAGATAGGACTATGTGGCACATCATATGGGCTCAATCTGGGTTCGTTGAATAAATGAATAAATGCTAGTTCCTTTAACCAGGAGCCAAAAGCACTTGTTTCTTGAAGGGGGTTGTCTTCCTGGGAAGAAAGAGCCCTTTCCTGACCAAAGCATGGGATATGTTCATTAAAAATAGCTATGCTTGGGACGCCTGGGTGGCTCAGTTGGTTAAGCGGCTGCCTTCGGCTCAGGTCATGATCCCAGCATCCTGGGATCGAGTCCCACATCGGGCTCCTTGCTTGGCGGGGAGCCTGCTTCTCCCTCTGCCTCTGCCTGCCATTCTGTCTGCCTGTGCTCGCTCTCTCTCCCTCTCTCTCTGTCAAATAAATAAATAAATCTTTAAAAAAAAATAGCTATGCTTTGGGGGCACTTGAGTGGCTCAGTCAGTTAAGCGTCTGCCTTCGGCTCAGGCCATGATCTCAGGGTCCTGGGATGGAGCCCCGCATCGGGCTCCCTGCTCAACGTGAGTCTACTTTATTTCCTCTCTCCCCCTCCGCTCATGTGCACACGCGCTGGTCTCTGAAATAAATAAATCTTTTTAAAAAAACAGGGATACTTTCCCATTGTGAGCAAAAAGGTAAGGAAAGAGACGATGCTGTGCCACACAGATTAGTATATGCGCAAAGGTGGGGGTGCAAATACAGGGAGAAGTGGATTGGAGAAGGACTGTTGCTTTCAAAAAATGGGCAAGAGGGTGGAGAAAGACAGAGAAAAAAACCAAACCAAACAAAAAACCTATAAGAGCAGGAAAAGAAAATGTAGAAATAATGGAGCATATAAGCAGCAGCAGAGGGGGCCCAAATGATTGGAAGAGGAATATCGAAGTGGTCTTTTGATACGGTTTGCAAAGGAGCCTGCGGGGCCTCGGCAGTCACCAGAGCAGCAGAGACATTCTGCTGCTGGAGGGACAGTCCCCTGCGTGGGACAGAGGGACTGAGCTGAGCCGTCGCAGGACAATCGCCAGAGGATGGAGGCACATCAGGACAAGAGAGAGACAAAGTGAAATGCAGAACGGGCCACCTCTGTCTATAGGCTATTGACTGGTTCTCATGTGGAAAGAAATTAATCCTTTAAACAAGACTTATTTGCATAAATCGACTTGTAGACAGAGTGGGCTAAGCTGTCCGTCATTAGCCATGAGTATGTCAAGCTCTGATTTTTGTCGATGGCGAGTGACAAATCCTTTTCAGATAACTCCTTTATGCTGCTAATCTCAGTTCGAGAACCTAGTCAGCTTTCTGTTGTGTCTGGTGGTGTTAGCGTTAGCTGCCCTCGCGGTAGCGTCCCCTGCCCTGGGATGGAGGACGGCCCTGACAGGCAAGCCTGGACACCCAAAAGCTGCTGCTAAGGAGCTGGTTTCGCCTCTTCCCTGAACTTGTCCTCCACGTCGCTATCCCATGGACCCTAACCCACACGCTGCGCCCTGCACTGTCCTGGGAAGGTTTTGTCTCCTCTTGGCTCAGTGGCCGTCTCCTCCATTCTCCTCTGTGTCTTCTGCTGTTCTGGTGCACACACGTGTGCACACACTCACTCCCACTCCCCTCTGGCTCGTTCTCCCTCTCTCCTTCTTATTCTCCATCTGGATTTCTCTCTGGTCTCTGTTTCTTTTACTTTTTAACTTGGACTCTATGGATAATTTGTGGGTCAGAAAAATGAACCATCCCTCAGGTACCATGAGAAAGCTGGGAAGCAGGCTTTGGTTTCTCTACCTGTTCCCTTCCAGCTCGCACACGTAGGTCACCACTGGGGACCAGTCAAAGGCCCCTGGTTCCTTCTTCAGCCACTTCTGCAGCTCCCGCAGGTTCTGGTCCGTATAATCGGTGGCAATGATCTCCTTGAAGGATTCACAAGCAGAAAGGAGCTGGTAGATGGTGGGGCCGGAGCCAATGTCGATGAGGAGGTCCCCTTTCACGCCATCTGGTTTAGAGGAGGCAACAAGGAAGGGGGTTCGGACATCCTATGACGGCACCCAGAGCTGATACACACAGTCTTCACTCGCACTGTGCGAGAGAGCCCTAAAGACAGACCAGCTCTCTACTCACTCATCCCTCAAATCCTTTTTTAAATATCTTTGCATTTTCCATTCCCCAATCCAGGCTGGAGGCATGCTGCCGGGATATTTTTAGGTGCAGGAGAAGGAAGACAAGATCTACATCTGGTTACAGACCTCTGATCCAGAAAGACTGCTAAACAGAAAATGTAAAAACTATTAAGGAATACTTCTGGGAAAAGTTAAAATTGTTTTTAAAATTGGGTCATTACGTCTCTCTCCAGAAAGCATCCAATTCTTCCTACGTTGGGAGGTCTTTTTTATCTCATGCACACTCGCAACATTCCTTTGAGTTAGAGTAAGTACTATAATCTTCACTTTTTAAGCGGCCCATCATGGTTAAATGGCTGGCACTGGTCACCTAACAAACTGATATGAAATCAAGGACAGAATTCCCACCTTCTGGTTTCCTTTTGCACAACCACATGAGATCGTGCATATAAAAGCTCTTTGTAAATTGTAAAATATCCATACCAAAAAATCATTGGTGTTCATTCTCCTTAAATACATATGTAACATCAAAAGGGCTGTCACATAGCAATGATTAGACACAAACCCAGCCCTGCCCTGACATTTCATCTGTATGTCTCATAATTTGGTGGAGAGATACACAGATAACACACAAACTTACCCAGGCAGAATATCTTGAAGAGATTTTTCAGGAGATGCCTGAGAATCTCATTTTCTGCAGAGTGTTTGGACCCAAAGTTGTAATATTTTTCCAGATAATCCCGAGGGTTAAAATGTCTCAGGTAAGTGTCCTTGGAGGTGAAGCTAGTTTCCATCGTGGCTCGCTCTTGTGTCCACCACCCTCCCACCTTCTCCTCCAGAACCTATGCAGTCAACGTGCAAAAGTTGTCTTTTTAAGTCCCAGGCTTCAATCTTTCTTCTGTTAGAGTTCAGCCCACGCCTTAGAGACCAAAGTTTGGTTAAACACTAACAGAAATGCACCAAGAATGTTTTGGCTGTTCTAGGAGGTGATGAAACTTTTGGGCAAGGGCGCCTACGAGATGTGTGTGTTGGAAGGGGAGGGCTGTGAGCTACATGCAGGTCTCAGCCAAGGGGTGAAGTTCAAGTGCGGGAAGAATCATCTGGGCTCATCTGGGAAATAATTTAGCTCACAGAAGAACCACGAAGTTTGGAGAGGTGGGTCTTCTCCCCAGAGCAACATCATTCTCGTAATGATTCTCCCAAAAGAGAGTCACAAGGAATGGTTTAAATTTAACGGTCATAAAGGAAGAGGAGAAAGAGGATTAGGAAATGTCTTTAGAGCTAAGGAACATTGGCTAAAGAAGGAATTGCAGATGAGAGAGGGTAAAAGAGCAATTTTTAGAAACCTGGATAAGGTTTCCTCCAATTCTGGGAAGGCCACATTCATGTAATCTTCTCTTCAAGCTCTACACGCCCCTCACTCCCCTCCCTGTGCACCCGCAGCTCCCCAGCAGCTGCCAGTTCTCCACATCTGGCAACCACCTCCTCCCCAAGCCTCCCCACTCATTTCAATCCATTCAAGTCCTGATGGTCCTTTCAAGGGGAAATTTGGAGAAATTCAAGAACTTCTTACCTTCCCTTTTCTGGACTCACATTGCCCTTAGAATTAGCTCATTCAGCCGAACCCTTGCCTCTGTCATTCGTGTATTTGTTCCTGGTTTTGTCTGTGTCAATCTTACTTCCCAAACTAAGCATTCACGGGAAGGATGCCTGAAAACCACCTTTAGATCAAGGCCTATGGCTCAGCCCCTTGCCTATCACACTGACCTAGGAGGTGTTCAAAACACTGGTTGATTAGTTGACTCTTGTCATATTGCAGCAAAATGCAATCACAGTTGAGTGCCCCATATTCCACGGGGGATGACTTCATAAGAACCCATCTGGCTACCAAGCAGAGAAACTCACTCAAAGAAGTTCAAGTGAAAAAGGAATTATTAATAGGAGAATATAGTGGAAACACATTGCAGGGTATCTAACTGGGTCTCATGAACCAGAAAGTCATTAGGCAACTAATTTCTCTCCCTCTCTTTCTCTTCCTCCTTTCCTCTATTCTTTTGTCTCTCTTTGGAGGGGGAGGGGCCTTGATTCTCTGCAAACTGGCTTCTCTTACTCATCCACTACACGTGGCTCCATTTGGACCATTCCCTGTGCTGGTCTCTGCACCTGACCTTACAGAATCTTCTAACCCATCTCCTCACAGCTGGCCAGCTGGGTCTTCATGATCCAAATCCAGTTCCTTAAAGAGAGAATCTGCTTGGTCAAGTATGGGTCAGTCATTGACTCTTATTAGCAAGTATGAGGGTTGGGAAGGAGATCTGTGTGGTAATGAGACTGCCCTTCACAGAGACTTAGATGGAACAGACAAATTGTCTCATATTACTGTGACTTTGGACCTGCAAAGTCAAATCACAGATGGGAAGGATGTAGAATCAATTCAGAGATGTCTGTGAGTGGCTTGAAGGCACCACAGCTAATACACCCTACTTCTCCCAACTACCCGGGAAGTGAGTCCATCCAGCAGGAAGCATCCTGAACTCAAAGTCAAAAGACACAAATTGCCATCCTGATTTGCCACCAACAATTCATAGGACAATAGTGGTTAGAAAAACTAACTTTTGAGATCTGGAAGCCTCAGTGCTGGCACATAAAATGGGATGATAAGAATATAGGAGAGGAAAAAATTTCTCATTTCCCATCTTTGGGTTTCTGGCTGGACCTAAGAATTGACTGAGAAGAAGAAACTGACACGAGCCAGATTAATTTCTTACATGTACATAGGAGGCTTCCCAAGAGAATGAAGACCTCAAGAAGTGACCAGAGCAGGAAGCTTTTATATGTTTAGACAAGGAAACAGTATGTGAAGAATTGACAAGGCAGAGGGGTTTGGCCTAAGGGTAGTAAATGATAAATAAGTAAGAGGGTAAGGTTGGTTTAATAGGGTTCGTGTGCACAGATTTCTCTGTACCAAATTCCCTGTCTCTGGTCATAAGAATGTCTTCCTTCCTCCTGGTACAGGGAGGGTACCCTTCATAGGGGACTTTTATTTCCTGCTTTCAGGAAGAAAAAGTAGGATCATGGTGTCCTTCTTGGGTCCACTGGTTTTTTTGAATGCCTTTAATTCAAAATAATCAAATGCCAAAGTGACATACGTTAAGGAGATGTAATTTGGTTTTCTTTAATGGCATCTTTTGTGTTCAATGTTCTTTGTTCAAGGTGTTGAGAAATTTAAACCATAGCTTCCCTCCCATTGAATCCTTACCTTGGGAAACAGACCCTCTTACCATTCATAGGTTGGTTTAACAGGAACTTCAAAAATAGTGGTTCTGTAGCTTATATGCGGCTTTGTGACTACATACCCCTTGCCCCTCATCCCATCATTAATTTTTTCCTGCCCTTTTAGGAAGTTGCCAAGATTTATAGTTAGAATCAGATTTCACTGTAGATAGAAATCGGCTCCTCATGTTCGTCCTGTAGCCACTGCACATGAATGTCTGTTATAATCAGGAATGCATGAATATACAAATACACATGTGGCAAAAATACACTTCTAAAATCAACAGCCTCTGGAAGCTTTTCTAGAATGAAAAGGGTTTTGTTTTGTTTTGTTTTGTTTTTTCCTGCTTCAGGGTTAACATAGACTCTATGAAAACAAACTGTTGAATCATATAAAACAAAGATCAGATTTTTAAATCAGATCCTGAATGGTTCCAACAAAAATTTAAATTTGTGGTTTATTTCATTATCCCTGCAAGGGCCTACTTAGCCAGAGCAAGCCATTTTGTTGTTTATGCCGTAAACTTAGATTGACCCTGCCCCCCGACCTCCCTGAGGAACTTACTTAGAAACAAGTCTGGGATACCAGTAAAATATGGCTGACCAGCCCCTGATAACAGAGCCCATATACCAGGACGTGTCAGGTCAGGGGGAGATAACAGAGCCCAGAATGCAAGGATGAGTCAAGCTAGGTAGAGACATCCAATCAGGAAAGCACCTTCCTAACCACCAAAGAATGTGGGCCCTGCCTTTTGGGTGACTTTCAGATACCAATTCTGACGACAGTGATAGGCTAGTTCAAATAGCTACTATAGGGTGAATTGTAATTCAACTGGCCACCTGTGTGTGGCCAGGCTCAACTACATGGCCTTTGCTCTATAAAAGTTAGTCTGTGAGGCTGGGAGGGGTCGCCTTCTCTGTGAGAGGTGGCCCCCGCTGGTCGGTTTGATTCTTGCTGCTTGGCATGAAATAAAGCTTTGCTTTACCTTTGCTTTGTATTGGTCTTATTCCTTTGTCCACGGACCCTTCAATCCCAAACTGCATTTTCCCTTTTTCTTTCTCAATGGTCCACTGTGGAGTTTTTCTCAGAAGCAATTAACCGAAAACCCTCAACTCCTTTCCCTAGCCATTGTGGCTAAAAAAAAAAAAAAAAGGAACTTCACATCCCAAGTCTAAGAAAGATGTATACATGAAATGCTTCTTGCTTTATCCTTATTATTTGGAGTCCCTGGGTATCTTATTTTCCTTTTGAATATGAATTCAAGAACAGTGAATATTCTGGAGGCGAGCACTAGAGAAGTCCTTGAGCAGAGCTACAAAAGTGTAGCTCATGGACGCTGAAGGGCACGTCAGCCTTTCTAGTGGCCTTCCTGCCGGAACTCTATTCCATGGTGATCCCAACAGGCTCCCGTGATCAAAAGAACTGATAATGTCTTGGGCATTGGCTTGGGAAAGCAATCCTCTCATGTGGACAAAACGTAGTGAAGACAGTTCCAAAATCAATAGCTTCTGGAAGGAGCAAAGAGCAAGAAGGAAGGAAGAAGGGAGGAAGAGAGGCAGAGAGAGTGAACGGGAGGGAAGAATGGAGAAGTGGAAGAAGTCAAGAAAGCATGCCCCTCGCACACGGCTGGCAGCGTGGGCCATTGGTGGATGCCCTTCCCATGTGGTTGGCTCATAAAGCATGTGTTGGTTACCTCAGATCACGACCTCGTGGGAAAAGAGTTCTACAATACTGGTGCACAAAAGAGCAAGGTCTGAGACACAAGAAAGAATGAAGGGCGCCTGGGTGGCTCCGTGGGTTAAGCCTCTGCCTTCAGCTCAGGTCATGATCTCGATCTCAGGGTCCTGGGATCATGCCCCATGTTGGGCTCTCTGCTCAGCAGGGAGCCTGCTTCCCCCTCTCTCTCTGCCTGCCTCTCTGCCTGCTTGTGATCTCTGTCAAATAAATAAATAGAATATAAAAAAGAAAGAAAGAAGAACAAGCAAGGACCCTAACTTGTGGGCAATTCTAATAAACGTATAAAAAATAAGGTCAGAGAGTGCCTGGGTGCCTCAGTTGGTTAAGGGTCCAGCTCCTGATTTTGGCTCAGGTCCTGATCTCAGGGTTGTAAGATCGAGCCACACATGAGGCTCCACACTCAGTATGGGGTCTGCTGGAGATTCTCTGCCCCTCTTCCCACTCATGCTCTCTATCTCTCTCTAAATAATTAAATAAAACCTTTAAAAAATTTTTAAGAAGTAATGTCGTATGCGGTTAAAAATAAGCAAGATGGAATTAAAAGACACAACAGCAACAGCCTGTAAGTTTCAGGGGAGCGTAAATACATGGGGTTGAAGTGTTCTAGGTCCTTGAATTATCCAGGAAGCGTAAAACTATAGATTATCTTTAGACTCTGGTAAGTCAACAATGCATATTGTCATTCCAAACACTTGATGGCGTACTGCCCATACTCCCCTGGCACTTGTCATGCCTGTTAATGTTTTTCTACTGCAAGTACTTGAGCCTGAGGCTTTTCTCTGGTTGTAGAACAATGTTTGGCCCCTACACAGAGCAGGACAGAAAATATGGGGAACTTCTGCAACAGTCCTCAGGCCCTCACCTACTGACAGATGAGAGAGGCTGAATAATTATGCCAGCTTCCTCACTCCTGCG